AATAACAAAGATACATCTGTAAATAACAAAGATACATCACACCATAATATGACAAATAAACTTTCATATTACACTATGGTAACCGATAAGTTATTACTTTAAAAAAAAAACACACCATGCGCACTTGTCCTTTTTTTACATGGCGAATTGACAAATGATATATATGTTCACAACAAATGGAAATGCTCGCACCTAGACAATATACGTAAACCGTATAATTCCCAGGATGCAATATACCTATCTAGTGATCACGAACAAACACACTGACAAATCAAATAATATGACAAATATATGAACAGAGTGCATAATAGCTGTACTCGATGCTAAACAGGTTATCTCAGGCTGACGCTCTGTTGTACCTGAAAAACAAAAATGGTGCGACAGTGTTTAATTCGTTACCATTATGAAGACTACCCTTCCCACCAAAACCCTTCAAAGTGGTTATACAGAATATCACTGTAACATCAAAGCTCTTCAAAGTGGTATACGGACTGCCAGTACACGCCAGAACTCTTCCACGTGGTATACTATACAGAACCAGAACCCTCGATTTGATATGCTACACCACAGTCACTGTCAGCAAATCACAAGACTGGTTACGAACCAGTTGAGCGAAGCTAACCGAATCGTAACCTCAGTGTGGTTCGTAACCAGTCTTATGATTGGTTGTTGACAAATTTTGAACAGGCCACGCCTCCAACTGTGCCGTGCGTTCGGGCCAACCGTTAATTATTCATAAATGGAGTCAATTTGTGTAGTTTTCTTATTTATTCTGCAGATATAAGTAAAATATAGGTAAAGGGTTTGGCGAAATTTGAAAGAGCAACTAATATTCTTCAAACTGGTATTTTTTATAGATTTTTTTTTCACTCTGTTCGTCTGTTTTTTCCAGTTTGAAAAATATGAGCTCGCTGGAGCATTAATCCCTTGTCTATTTCTAACACTAGATACCAGCCGATACCCCCCCCCCCCCGCTCATAGGGAGTGCGTACAGTTGATTATAGATCCTGGGCTCCCTGTGCTAGAACCTTTCTATGCAGATTGTATATAGTATGACTCCAGAATTCACCTCCGTCAGTGCCATTGACTCTAATATGGCTGCCACACCGCCACCCCGTAAACCTGGCTATTTGATTGGATGAATTAATGATAGTCAATATGCTCATGCCAATTTGAATTATGAACTTAACGGAAATGCACCTTGCTTTAGTTTTTAGATGCAGAGATTTGTCACACAGCTAAGATGCAGGGGCGGATCTAGGATTCTGGATTGGGGGGGGGCGATAAGATGGACGAAGGCCAACTTCGCGAGCCCTGTTGGTTGTTAAAAATAAGGGGGGCCGCGGCCCTCTCGGCCCCTCTAAATCCGCCAATGAAGATGTACATTTAGCAGACAGACTGAAACAGATTTAGTGACAGTTATAGTGTCACAGCACAGTCCCCTTGTCGTAGAGATTGTTATTAGTATATATAACCAAACCCATTTTTCTCTTGGATTTTTTATCTTGATATAAGTTGATATCTTCATGTCAGTTGAAAAGTGAAATGTTTTGTGCAATTGGTGGTTCTATCAAAATAGGAATGAGTATCCAACATTGACAAATGTTGCCCTGAACCTTTTCACCGTCAGTTTTCTCTTTTCATCACAAATTCATAAAATAGTCCTGTTTATAGTCTGCACTTTCCTTCAGAGAATTTGGACAAAATTATGATTGGAAACCCTCCCCAGTACAAAGGCCATACAAACTCAAACTACTGTAAAATACTGATTTAGTGAAATTAAAAGTACATTCAATCATTGAAAACAAACAAAATACACTAGAAGCCTTTTCAGCGATAATTAATCCCAGCTAAAATAAAATATCATACAGTATTTGTAGGCAGACGGGCAATGCAAAAACGCTGACGTCAGTTATCATTTAATATAAGTTCTGGGACGAAAGATTATCGCTAACCAACAGAATATTTCAAGTGCTATGTAGACTATTAGTGCACACTACAACTCAATGAGGTGTCTACATTCCACCATTCACGATAAAATAATGTAGCGTAATTGTTGAGAAACGGCGAGGGCACACTTTACACTGAAATCTGCCAACGGAAACTACTGTTTAAAGAGGGCGCTCTACATTTTGATTATATTGTTCATTTGCATCTCATTAGCATATCCCAACGTTTCAGATTGTCTGCTAAAGTAAATTGGAATGCATAAGGCGTATTTCTTTGATGACTGGCTTGTTTTAAAAGACAATTCATAGAGAGAGAGTTTGAATAAGTTTCACCACATCCCTCAATCATCCTGCTCCACTTGAAACGCTGGCTGCACTGCAATCGTGCATATTTTATAATAATTTATTTGTATTACTTGTATTATGTATAATAGGCTTTCTTGGAAAACCAAATTTTCAAATAAACTTTAAAATTATTAATCTGTTCCAATTGTTAACATACAGCAAATATCCTGCAGTGTCCTTGGAATCATTCTACATCACATCCCCACAGAAAATGATGGCAGAGCACTTGTGTTCATACCCCGACCCAAAAATACAATAAGAATCAAATAGGACATATCTCACCTTTCTCAACAGAAAGCCGAGGTACGAGATATTTCCAGAAAGCACACTTAGGTATTCTTGGATCCGTAGCTATGTGGGGAGTTTCTTGCAAAACACTCAGATTCAAAGTAAAAACAAGATGGTCTTCTGTGGAATACTTTGGCCATTCCACACCGCCGACATCTGGAACATTTGGATTACTGTAGCAAAAATATAAGCCACATTGTTATTATTATCATACATGATTCTAAGCTGAAAGATGAAAATTTACCCAAGAAGTTAAAGCTTTAATAATTCCACAATGATATTCCATTTGGAATAATCTGTAAGGTGTTGACCATTAGAAACTTTGGGGTGGGAGGGGTGGATGTGGTAGAAAAACTGTGCAAAATGTTGTTTTGAATATTCTTGCCACATTTGTTTTGAGCTTTCCTATATTAAATGTATGAAGATTTTTTCCCGTCATTTCCGTCAGATGATTTTTTCGAAACGTTTTCTTTGTGCAATTTTTTTCCTCAATATTGATCATCCTTACCCTTGGATATCGCACCCCATATTATATCATTAAATATGCAAGCAAGACATGTCGAGACCCTTCGGCCGAGATTGAGCCCATTGTATCAGCAAACAATTTTATTTTTCAATCAACAGCGACACACAAATCGTGAAGCTACGATAATTACACTGTAGAGTATTCCCTATATAAAAGTAATAACCCCATGCAAAGTAAGATCGCTTAGGTCACCAGTCCGCTATTCTTTGAACCAAGCATTTACCCAATTTAGTGATTGATTATAACACGACTAGCTGTGAACGAGGATGAAATAATTGATGTAATAGATGATGTACTCAGACGCTAAAACCTACAGTAGTGTGTAAGTTCTTTCCTCCACTTTATGCATATAGATACATCAATTGAACATACAATATTATATTGATCCAAAGGTCCCTGGAAAGCCACATCACACTGGCTAATTGAAGTATTTTGTTTTATATTTCTTCATTGTAGGCCGTATTTCACATGCAACAGTACTGTGTCATGTTTAATATAATGACATGCAGCTGTCATAGCTACGGGATACTGCTACGCATATAAGAGTTTCAATTTTACATTAACCCGGGTAGCTGACTAACCGTACTACATGGATTCGTTTGGCAGTAAACAATAACAAATTGGATGTTCCATGTATAAAAGCGCCGGGCATCAAATAGTTCCATGAACAACATACAAACTAACGATTGTTATGCAATATTGTATGAAATACGATAACTCAATATCTATTCCGTCAATTTACGTTATATACATATAACATGTATAACATATGATATATCTGGATATATCTGGGAAAATTCAAATCAGTTTAAGCATATATACAAGGCAGAAACTGAAGAGAAAACACTGATTAGTCTGATTAGTTAGGTGATAGTGTTGGGTATCCAATCACGCACAAACGTGTAAGTAGCCAGAAAGTAAGTTAAGATACCAAAAACGGGAAAGCGTTTTTAAACTATACTTATATCAAAGGGCGGTGGTCGTTGCGCAGCGCGTGTTCGAATTTCATGTAAACAAACAATGTATTTTACACGCGTTGTATACGTTGCTATGAGTCCCATATCAAACAGGACACGGCGCGACGACCACCGCACTTAAAAAAAAAAAAAAAAAAAAAAAAAACAGGACCCATACTTATTATACATAAGTATACTTATTATCCTAACTCATTGACACGTCCCCTGTAGGTAACGTGTATTCATACTTAAGTGAGCCTCAAATTCAAGCACTACTCGTGAAGATGACGACATCACTGGTCAAATTAAATTAAATTAACAAGAAGTTGCAGCTCAGAGAATGGCTTCTGTGCAAGATAACACCCTAGCAGGATATCAGTAAAGTAGTAATGACGTCATATCCATCGAATTCCCACCAAACACTACAAGCTGACGAGCTCTTTACAAAACACTGAGAAGTCAGTGCGAGAAAGATAAATAGACACCACGACACACGGCCAAGATAAAAATATATCAGGTATTCAGACAATGTACTATTCAACACGTGGCACTATCAATCTGAATCATAACAAAGTTAATAAAAACACTAAAATATATCAGGTAATTCAAAAGAAACTTTACCTTGTAATATGTTCCTTGGATATCACCACGTCTAATTTGAATTCAGTCGCGTCGTGTAATATCAGCTATCACTAATATGCAAATTAGACTAATTAATATGCATGGCTTTGCTTTCAAATCTAATCAAATTTCGCAGACATTCCTGACGCTTATTAGTTTTATTTCTCGAAAATCATAGAAACATAATTACAAGAGGAAGTAATTAGTGAGTTCAGTGAAATACGCTAACTAGACAATTAATGCGGTACCTATATTTGACTGCATGCAACGGGAACTGAATACAAAAAAACACAGTCGATGATGAAGAACAAACTACGATTCAACCTTATTCGCGCTAAAGACGTCCGGTATTGACATCGTCAGAAACGTATAATGTAAACGTACAGGTCGGTCGAAGTATTTGATTGCCTTGTAGATTTGTATTATGGTAACCTCTAGTCGTTATTCATTTGCTAATAAAATGCCAAGAATTTCGTTAACATAAATGGGTTCGGCGAACGAGGTGTTAAATCTAATCTAACACTTCCTATCATGAATCATGCAATTGTTAATAGCCAGGGACGTGTCAATATGCACACTAGAGGGGGTCGTGTATATTATACGATGATTGTTCGCGTAGTGTCGACCGCCACGCACCTACACCTACATATATTATTATAGGCTTTCGTTGTAACAAATGTCATGCAATAAACCCCTCGCATGGCTCTATTAAAGAAAAAACAATTAATTTTGTTTGCTTATTACTTATATTTCGTATAATTTTATGCATTTACCTCCAAAAAGAGTTTCTTTTCAGGAGTGCTACGAGTGTTGCCCTTTAAGGATAAATCAAGATCGCATTCATGAAATATTATCGCTTCTAATGCAAAATGTCATGTCTATGAAAACAAGCAATATGACGCTATCTAAAGATCTACAATTTCAATTCTAAATCTATTTGACAGAGTGCGTAATATAAGGAACACATTCAGATTTATTGCCTCCAATTTATTGCTTCCTATCAGTATCCGTCTGTATCATCCGGTCTTATATCAAACACACGGCGTACGCCCGGCTGCACGGGGTCAATCTCCAGTTTTTACATTAAGAATTTCCTAAGTTTACTATATCACATTTTCTGACTGAATCTCAACTACAATGGCCGCCATAATCTCGTTGAGTGTGAGAGAGCCACGAGACTTGGTTTTGCATCTCAACTAGTGTCATATTTTCTCTGACCAATGAGTGCCCAGAATGAGGACATCTTGAAATACGACATGAACCTAAACAAATAACATCTCCTAATCTGACATGATTTCAAGTAATATCAAATAACTTAGGAGAGACTTGTCGGATTGACCGGATATTAACTTTTCCGAACCGATTAGAATGATTACTTTATGAATAGTATAGTTCTAATTACTGGCGTTTAGGTAGTAGCGCTTGCTTACGTTGACTAGTTGGCAAGAACCGGTTGTTCGTTGTCCAAAATAAAACAACGGGGGGGGGGGTTGTTCGCTGTTTCTATTATCATATATACATGTACGTGTTCATGTAAATAAAACAACTTAGGGGCAACAGTGTCGCAGTGGATCATGGGAAGGTGTTGATCAGTGAGCGACATTTTTTTATCAGATTCACGCATGTTGATTGCCTAAAATGTGCAAATGACGTCACAGTGCGTTGGCGTTGTTCGAGCGTACGCAGGGCACACAAATGTTTTCTCCAACGTTTTAGTGAGGGGATCACCACGAAGATAGAATCACTTATTTTGTTCGTTGCCTTCGTGGTCGTCATTCCATATATTTCGTGAAAATTAACATTTTGAAAATAATAGCATTTTCACCTTGATTCAAAGCGTGAACCGATCCTAAAATTTACGTGCAGCATGGCGTGGGAATTACCCTAAGACTGTCTCAAAGCAACGGGCCTCGCCGATTGAACGTCAATGCGGTACCACCCACGTAACGCTGATGATATCAACATTCATCCTAGCACAGATCGGTAAATACGATACCCTTAGAGTCGTAAACAAAATGAAAACGGACGTCAAACAACGATTTAACGACACATTTTAACGTATGTACCATTCATACACCGCTCCGGCCTTTGGCAGGGAACATTTCTACGGGGAAGGAAATGCAACACTTTATGGCGGTAGAAGGTCATACAAACTGCTCAGCTCTTAAAATATTATTCAATGGAATTAATTTCTACCACTCTTTAATTTTACAGTACACGTGTTTGCGATTTTAACGATGTCGATGTCACGTGATTTATGTCCACTGTTCCCACCCATTATAGTAGTACGTACTTTTCATTGTTACCTAGAGAACTTTGCACGCGTTCGTGTTGTCGCAGTAGAATTATTTTATCGGTATACTTGGTTTGATAATAAGAAAAAAACCTGTATTTTTCAAAAGATTAAAAAAAAAATCATTATTGAGCAAACCAGACAGTTACTGGTGTATGTCTATGCGGGATCGCTACCCGTGTTAAGGGAGTGAGTAAGAGGTTATCCGAAATACATTTCCCGTACCAATTTACATCAACATACCACATTCACTGATCAATCACAATTCATTAGCTTTCTCAATGACGTCACACTTTTTAGTTACTGGCTATGACCCTTGATATTAATGTGTTGATAATATACCTGTATCAATTCGATTACCTTGTTTCCATTTTCATTTACGGGCAAACACCCTTCCCAATAAATCACGTGTTAGTAAGAATTTCAACTGTAGTGAATCGATGACGTATATCGTATTGTATTCCAATTATAGCCTAAAGTGTTATGCTATATAAATTATTCTCCGTCCAGATTACTTTCAAGTTCGTTATTTTGTTTATTTTGTTGTAAACAACTACGAAAACACACAGGGATCAGTATTATAGTGTACCAATGTCATCTTTTTCACAAGAGTTTACGCAGTACATTTAGCAAACACACACACACACATTACCCTGGGTCGTGTGTAATCCCAAAGCAAACATTAGTGCTTAATGACACGTTTTCGACTGCCTCTTAAACCTGGAATCTATCTTGATTAAAGCATATAACAGTTTTCTGTGACTAAACAGATTTCTTGCAATTCTGGGCTAATATCTGTAATAACTGTGTTTTAACCCATTTTTAAAATATGTTCTATTTCTCACATATCCCCGGAAATGTTATATAATGTGTCCTTAGACGTGATCATTGTTACGTTACATCACGATACGTTAAATAACATTACGTTTTCACAAATATATTGAAAAATAATTGAAGTAATGTATAAAAATTACACATTTTTGATAACTTACCCAGTGCGAGCAAAGTTTCCCCAATATCTCATAATTCTTCGACTGAGATCTTTTTCTTCGCTGGTAATCTCGTCTTCTAGTGCCAACCCCAGGACGAACGCTAGCTCGTCGCCGTGAGGCACGCCGACCCACGTGGGCCACGCATTGAGTGAGTTCCGATGATTAAAATAGTAGACATACGCGTCCTGCTTGGAAGCCGTGAAGTATGCAACGAAATCTAGGGTGGGACAGCAAATGCTGTAATCACTCCACATATTAGCCAAAGAATTTCGAAATTCGTAAGGATCGTAAGGTCTGTACCAATTGCGGTATTGAAATGCGATTGTCTCAACCTGTCTGTCATCGAAGTCGGAAAATAGACTTTGAATCCGATCCCTGAACGTATCGTGAGAAAGACTTGGAGTGTGTTCCGCAATCGTTATGGGGTCGTGAGAAAACTCATCGAATCTCATTAAGTTTAAGACGCTTTCGTCTTGATTGAATCCTAATAAAATCGAGGTGTTTTTAAAACGACCACTGGATAGCAAATTGTGGGGCGTGTCGGGGAGAAATAAGCCATCTACCATCGGCGAGCTATGAGCGTTCTTTTCCCAGTGTCTAATGAGCGGAGTCAGATTAATGTCGCCTCTTAGACAAGTGATGGTCTCCAGAGCCGATGTTCGGTTTCCCGGTTTGGCACTCGGGCAAGATGTTCGTTTTGCTAACCCGATAGTTTGGCTCAGCAAATCATCTTTCGGCGATAAAGCCCACGGCGACAGTGCTGTGCCACTTTGCAAAATTGCGAACTTGAAAAGGTGTTCCGACATTGGTGACAGGAGATGGTAGGAAACGCTGGATGCCCCAGCACTGTGTCCGGCTATAGTCACTAAATCGGGATCGCCGCCGAATCCTGCGATGTTTTGGTTGATCCACTTCAGGGCCATTGTTTGGTCATAAAGACCGATGTTCCCCGGCGCCTCATCGATGTCCAGAGTGGCAAACCCAAGTACACCAAGGCGATAGTTGATCGTGACCACGATAACATACTCTACGGTTGCCAAGATATGGCCTCGGAGTCCTTCAGCGGAGCCACTACCCGACACAAAACTACCTCCATGAATAAATACAATAACTGGTGTTTTTTTGGGCCGGGGATGGGGAGCCCAAATATTTAAAAACAGACAGTCCTCGTTGTGGCGTTGTTCAGACGAGCCCCACCACACATGCCCGCTGAAATTACGTAGTCTTGGCATAACTTCTTGCAAACACGAAGAACCATACATAGTTGCATTACGTACTCCTTCCCACGACTGTGTAAAAGGACGTGGCCGTTGAAAGCGAAGCTCCCCCACTGGAGCAGCTGCGTAAGGTACTCCAAGAAATGCATCGACAGATTTCCCGAGAACGGTCAGTCTTTTGCCGAGCAGATCTCCGTTTCTCGTCGACACTACTGGAGGATCGCCCGTGAGGTTGAAACCCAACACAAATCCGAAGACCTCAACGAAAATCAGGGACCAAATTTGTCTGCTCCACATTGCTTAACGCGGTGTCTGGCGGTATCCTTAGAGTTGACCCTCGCTCGACTACTCCCCGCGCTCTCTTTATCTTCAAACTGTCCCGTTTTCACGGTACGAAACCCGCCACTACAGCACAACAAAAAACATCACCCCGGCGCTCAGTCACGCAACTTACGTCCAATCAAATGAATGTTACCAGCAAAGAAAATCGACAGTTTCCATTAATAACGTTGTCACACATGTGCAATGTTCTTAGTTCCGGTGTGTTGGCCACACGCGTTTTTCCTCTGGCTTCTCAGTCAATTTAAACAAGTCGCCGTACGCTATATATACATGTCATGTACAAAGTTTACTGGATCCAGGGTCAACGTAGCAGAAATAAGATAGCGGTTGACGTAAAATAGGGCGTTTAATTTTCGAGTCCGTGTTTAAGTATTAGGGATTGACGACTATAATGTTCAGGGATAATGGTGTTAAATATTATGATGTATCGTCACGGAATGCATAGCTATGTTATAACGGGAAGGGTATGTGGGTAAAATTACGAATGTCTCATTTCCGCTTACATATTATTTATTTTGCATTGCAATAACAAATATGGACTTTAAAATTAGGATTCTGACTTGATTCGCCGAAAGTGGTGGTTTTATCGAAAACATGAACCATCGTCATGTAAAATATATTAATTGTCCGTGGGAGCTAAGTAGTCACGTGACTAGCCATATGAATGCAAACAAATCAGCATGGGGTGTTTCAGGAACATTTGTATCGATGCTTGTTAACACAGGTTACAGCAAGTTCAACAATAATATTTTTTGGTATGATGTACTGTGACCATTTTATCCTAGCATAATGAACTTATCTTAAAAGTTCACTGCATCCTATGTCTTTGAAGAGAAGCGTACTAGTATACTACTGTAAAACATGTTGAAAAAGCGACATGCTATTTTAGCGAATTGTGGTAAAATGACGTAATAGCGAAATGTTGATTTAGCGAATCTCTCGTGTCTTTGTTGATTTCCTGTTTCACAATGCTTGTCTGTCGCCTGTCAAAACAAATGCGCAGTTATCAGCTCAATAAAAAAACTGTTTTCTGTGTTGTTTACAAAGTGTGTGTGTGTGGTGAAAAAAGACGTTGTTTGGCCGCCATTTTGAATTTATAATGAAGTCATTATTAGCGAATTAGTTCTCTCGCTAAATTCGCTAAAAATACATGCTCGCGAAAAAGACATATTTTACGGTAGTTTATACCGTGACGCATGCATAATTTTTCTGTAAATCTGAATATCACATTCATTTGATCAAAAAATGATAATAAATTTATTGAAATATACATACAATGTGTAAAATGGTAGACCCACATTCTGCAGGAAACATGGCGCCCAGAAGGGCAAATGACGTGTTGATACGGGCATCTTTGTCACTGTCTCTAATACTGGCCGTGATCTCGTGGGACTGACCCATGCAAATTATTTTTAGCGTTTCCATTCTTTTTTTTTAAAAAATTGTTCCTTACTTTCCTTACTCCACACACCCGGTGGAAAATGTGTTCATTTTTTTAAAAATAAAATAAAACGAACTGATTCTAAAACTGCTAGTTTTGTGTTTAATTTTCCAATCGGACCCGGTCGAAGTTCGTGTAATTCTTATTTTTATGAATATTATGAGAAAGTTTGCCATGAATCGCATGACAGTATTCATTGGTTTATTATGTACAGTCGTGGAACTACAGTTTTAAAGAAAAATAGCATCATTTGATACTTATTGTTATAATAAGGATATCAAAAGTACCCCAAGAAGACATGATATTTAAGTTTATACCAGCCTGCAATTTGAGATATGTGACATGTCTGTCATGAAAAGCAATGGTAAAAACGTGGCCGCCATTCACTAAAATACAACCATCATTTCTCTCGACAAATAGGTTGGTAACCCTAAATGTCTGTTAAGTCCACATTCTCATATCACGTGGTTCTGATGTAATAAGGGTAATAGAGGAGTTACAGATGTATTGTGGGTAACCGGATGTAATCTCAGGTTATTTCACGATGCAGTTCTCACATTAGTCCTAGAAGTTTTTTCATACAGAATTTTTTACACCAAGAATATTTTGTTGAGAACGTTCTACTGAAAATTAATGTACATATGGAGTTCTCATTTAATTGTATCTGTATTTACAAATGAACAGGAATAAACGTAATGTTTATGAAATAATATTTATACGAAAGCACAATAATTATATATTTTGGTGGTTTGTTTATTCACAACATATAATTTGAATGAATAGTCTGGGTTAGTGCGTTTTGCTCTAAAGTATCAATGCCGTATACATGATGTTTGTCACATAATGAAACCCTATATTCATCACACTTCAGACGTCAAAGTCTGAAAAAAGTTTTAATTCAATAAAATGTTTTTTTTTAATATGCACAGTTTGTGACAGATCCCAGACAATCTTAGTAATGGCGGTAACCCCGCCCGGGTTACAGCAGTCTATTTAATCATATACTTTAATAAAATAGGTATATGTTTTTTTTTTTTGGAAAAGAGTTCATGGTTCGAGGGACAACAGAAAATGTTTCATCTGTGGTTCACTAACGCCTGCTTTCAGATTACATAGCAAGAGTCCCGGGGAAAGAAATTCTATGTGATAATAATCCTGTGTGTTATCGTTAGTTGTTGCAAATCAACACGTAACAATTTGTGAGCAGTGAAATATGGGGAGGAAGTTTGGGTAAATTGGTCAATTGTTTTTCCTTCATTTCAGCTCACATTATTGTTCCCTTCAAATTCCAGCTCCGTCACGCAGATTTAAAACAGAATTACCCTAACACATTTGAAACAATCGGACTGAGTTATTTTAACAGCACAATACAATCTGAATATAGGGAGCATAACCATTTACTAACTCCAAGTGTTCACGAACCTGTATTTATAACGTAATTTATTTATTGCACATCTGTTACGATTTGCCACCGAGATATCAGCGAGTTTGATATTTTTTTTATCGGCAATGACGAAAAGAAATGCTCCACATTGCTTTTAAGTTGTAAATTAAACTAAACCTCAGGCTCTTTCCATCGTTCACCTTTAATTAGATGTACTTTATTTTACATGGGTCACGGTGTTTGAACCCCCAAACCACTAATAACGCCGAAACACGGATGGTTCTATGATAGCCCAGTTACGTTCAATAAGTCACGTCTGATTATTTCGCAATTATCTTCATCGTGTACATTTCACAGACCATTAAAGTGTCTTATATTGGGATAACTGTCGCCTCGTTATTGTTATCAGGGATATCGTGAACTTATTAAGTACGAGATGTATAGACCCCCCCTTTACTTGATAATGGTCGACTCTTAATCAACTAGTTAAGGCATTGCATCGCATTGAGTACATTTGGTATATAATGTTTGACAGGGGAATTGGATGGAATTCTCTGTGAATATATTTTTTCTGTTCCTTGTTGATTACTGTTTAACTCAAAGGAGTTACAATCCTTGATAACATTCAATGGATGTGGCAACAAGAATCATTTCAAACACCTCACCCACCACGTCAGAATGTCGGTTCAAAGCGCTACAGCCGTCTCGCAGCGCGTGTTCGAATTTCACGCGTTACTATGGATCCCACATCGAACACGACGCGGCGTGACGACTGCAACGACAGGGGCGGGCCTTTATTGATTTGTATTGAAAAAACATGTTTAGTAAACTATGAACATATATAGAGAGTAACTGTATAAACTTTTTTTTTCTTCAGCTGGATTGCAGCAGAAGACGACTGTACACTGTTTTCTTTATTTGTTTCACATCTCATGATTAGTTTGTTCTCGATCGGTTATACCGATGTACACTAGCTGTCAAACTTGAGACACAAAACGACTAGTTTTTAATATTATCGTACCAGTACATGAGTCTTTGAGTTATGGTAAAAAAATGTAACAGGACTTTATCCAGAACATGCGCATAGCAGTTTACAGATAACAATGTGTTCTATACTTACTGTACCCTCGAAATCTCACTAGGAGCGAGATCCACGAGACTTGTTTTATTTGCACCCAAAATAGTGTTCAATTCTCCCATGTCATAGCTTATAATGTTCCACTAAACTGTTCAACCATTGTATTTGAAATAGCGGATCCGATGGTGACTGAGAATGGAACACGATTCATTGGGCTGAAACAAGTCACGTGGATCTCCCGCTCTCGGCGAGATTTCGGCAGCCATGTTCAGCTAAAGTCTATTATAGAACACATTTTATGTTATTTGGTGGCTGGATA